ATACCTAAGTCAATTAACACTAAAAAAAATCACAACTCGATTGCGCCACTCCCCGGCAACGGCGCCAAAATTTGACCGCGCGCCGTTACACGGCACATTTAAATTTATAAAGTTTTCCTTGACTAACCTCTACTAACTAGTAGTAGTGGCGAGTAAGGGTCGATCCCACGAGGAGCAGGAATTAAATTGTGATAATTTTGTATTAATCGAACTAAACTAAGAAAGCAAATAAAGATGGGGGGATTGATTTATAAAACTAAAAATAATAAAATAAAATAAAAATCAAATAAAATAAGAGAAATCCAGTTTTCGGTTCAGTTATCACCCAATCTAAATTTACCGTTAATCAATTTTGACGCTTTCTATAAATTGCTAATGAATTACCAACCCTAGCTAACAATAAGCTCTGTTAACCGAATTTTCCCTTACTGATTATTTAATCGAAATAGGCTCTTCGACTAAACCTAACTAGTGGACAACCTAGAATAAGCTCTCTAGATTTAGTACACTAGCAGCATTAATTCCTAGGAAGATAGATCAGTCTAAGCAACAGTCGCAAAAGCTCGGACTATTTAACTTATGTTCACGTTACCCTAGAGATGCGCGACCCCTAGTTTACTACTAACGAAACAAGACAATAACAATTACGGATTAAAGTCTAGTATCTAGCAGTTAAACTATGAATATTCAATCTAGCTGGCCAAACTAAATCAAACACCATAATTCATAAACACTAAACACAGATAGCGTGAATCAACTCATCAACAAAAATAAATACGGCGTCTCAATTAACCAACGATAGAAATAAATCCTTCAATCCATAGACAAATCAAAGTTAGGGTTCAAACATCCCCTCAAACTGGATAGAAAAACTAGCCTATCATACTAATAAAAATAAAATACTAGATAAAAGAGATAATAGATCTCCCTCGTGTGCGGGTGCGGCTTCCCTCCGCGTGTATAGCCTCTTTCTCAGTCCAAACGTGACTGTCTTCCCGTGCGTGAGTTCTGTTCTTTTTCCTTCTCTGCTCTCCGTTTTTTTTTACGTCAATAATGTCCTTCACAAATAAATCCTTCTCCAATTCGCGTGAGTCTCCCCAGGAAATTAAAACTCTTCGAAAACTTCCATCCAATCACAACTCCTCCAAATGGAAATAATCTCTCATGAAATAATTCATCTCCAATGAAGACATCTTCAGCACTTGCACCAAAAGTGTCTCAAGCCCAATATTTTTATCCTAGCCCATATCAGTATTGTTTTATTCATTTGGGCCTTAATTAATTCGGTATTGTGAGCCTAATCTCCCGCGAACACTCGTCAATGTTCCGGATCTACAAAATACTCTAATGAGCTGAAAATAAATATAAAAACATCAATGTGTATGAATCCATCCAAACAATAAATAAGTCGAAAAATATAAATGTGCAAATAAATTAAGTATATAAAAATACACTGTTAAATATATAAAACATGCACATTTTCCGACCTAACAAATCTCCCCAAACTTAAACCGTTGCTTGTCCCCAAGCAACTTCGAACTATAAGCACATAGATGGATATAAAAGTACGTAAAATTTTTGCTCAGGTCCTCACACATCTCACATAATGCATAGCTACAACTTCTCAAATTAATAATCCCAGACTCGAAATGAAATCATCTTTAGAACGCCAACAATCAAATATCAATTCAGTGAATCACCACAGTTCATCAATCGCTTCACCGAGTATACCAATCCTGCAACTAACGACATCCCTTTCTTTGTCAATCGGCTTAGTTCCTCTTCG